TATTCACAACTTTCCCAGCTGTCTTCTAACACAGGGGTCCTCAACCTTGGCAACTTTAAGACTTGTGGACTTCAACTCCCAGAATTCCTCAGCCAGCAAAGCTGCCTGAGGAATTCTGGGAGTTGAAGTCCACAAGTCTTTTAAGTTGTCAAGGTTGCAGACCCCCGGTCTAGTGGTTAAGCACCAGTCTAGAAAGCAGAAAGAGTTCTAATCCTACCTTAGCTAGGAAAGCCAGCTGGGTGATTTTGGGGACCCCTGTTCTAACAAGTAAAGTCAATGGGGGAAGATGGATTGGCCTAATGACTGTATGATTTACTCAACAACTGCACTGACTCGCTTAACTATGACAAAAAAGGTGATTAAAAATTGGGTGCGACTGTCTTTAACAATCACCTTGCTTAGAAGCAGAAATTCATCTCCCAATTGAGGTTATAAATTGAGGACTCCCTGTCTTTGATCTTTCGAGTTTCACAATGAAATTTCTAACCCTTCACAATCCTGACTATTTCCCCCCCCCTTAATAATAACAAGATTGGATCGCGCTTCTCTTTTGCAATAATGCATCATAAAACCTAGCTTTAATATTTCTGGGTTTGTGCAGTAAAAAGCCATTTATTTTTTTACTGTTTTCTGATTTCTTTTAATTCTTTCTTCTTTCTTTCCTGTGTCTCTCCAGGTAGCTATATCACGACAATTGGGGTCGATTTCAAAATCCGGACACTAGTGATTAATGGAGAAAGAGTGAAGCTGCAAATCTGGGATACGGCTGGACAGGAACGGTTCAGAACTATTACCTCCACGTAAGTCTAGGACACGAGCTGAATGTAGGGCCTGAATACTGAAGAGTGGGGATAAATTGATGAGAGGCCTATGAGAGAGCCTAGGTCAGTGGTGGCGAACCTATGGCACGTGTACCAGAAGTGGCACTCAGAGATCTCTCTGTGGGCACCCGCGCTGTTGCCTCAGCCCCGCCTCCCCCCATGGCTCCCTTCTCCCCAGCAGCCCCCCCCGGAGGAGAGTCGCCCCTGAGTGCGGCCCGCGTGGAGCAGCACAGCCAAGACCTGGCAGCTGGGCCGCAGGGACAAGACTCCACTGTTGCGCCCCGTCGTGCGCAGTTGATGCTGCGGGGTGTGGGCGGAGGGGGGGCTGCCATGGCGCTGGGCAGCCTGGGTGATCTGCCGTGGGCCATGGAGGCGGTAGGTGGCCCTGTGGGCGGGCGGGGCGCAGGGGTGGAGTGAGGCGGGTTGGGGGCAGAGTGGGGGTGGGGCAGGGCCCGGGTTTGGGGCACTCGGTCTCTAAAAGGTTCGCCATCACTGGCCTAGGTATTAACTAGCTAGTCAGCAGTAAGCAACCTTTTCACATGATGATCCTTATTTACAATTTTGCAAGGTAAAATAAATAAAAGTTCAAAAAATTGTGCGAATGTGCTTCCTTAAAAAGCCACAAGATTTTTGATCCAGAATGAGAAATTATTTTAAAAAGTTGAATACAGGCAGTCCTCGGCTTATGACCACAATGGAGCCCAAAATTTCTGTTGCTAGGCAAGACATTTTGTTAAGCGAATTTTGCCCCATTTTACGACCTTTCTTGCCACGGTTGTTAAGGGAACCAGTGCAGTTGTTAAGTTAGTAACAGGGCTGTTAGGTGAACCTGGCTTCCCCATTGACTTTGCTTGTCTGAAAATCGCAAAAGGTGATCACATGACTGTGACCATCATAAATATGAGTCAGTTGCCAAGCATCCAAATTTTGATCACATGACCATGGGGATGCTGCAACGGTCCTAAGTATAAAATGGTTATAAGTCACTTTTTTCAGTGCTGTTGTAATTTAGAATGATCACTAAATGAACTGTTGTAAGTTGCGGACTGTCTGTACTTGGATAATGTGGTGGGATCCTAGCCATTTTTATTTATTTTTATTATTTTAACCGTTGGGGGGGTGTCTTCCCTCCTGAGGTTTTATGGACACCTCAGGGCTAATCACTAAACTAAATGTAACTCTTGGTGGGCCTATAGAACTCCTTTGAAACCTCTCGCTGAAGGAAGGAGAAAGATAATTATTTTCTCAGTTCAAAGCAAGTCATTGTTTCATTTTCTTTGGTACAGGTATTACCGCAACACCCATGGTGTCATCATTGTTTACGATGTGACAAACGCCGAGTCCTTTGTTAATGTCAAACGTTGGCTGCATGAGATTGGGCAAAACTGTGACAATGTGTGCAAGATTTTGGGTGAGTGGTTTTGTTACCAACCCGTCTTCCCCCTCATCTTTCAGTTCAATGACTGAGGTAATTCTATCACATTACATTGGAACCTGATCGGGCCAATAGAAAATGCATGAAATTTTCTCCAATAGTTTTTATTCATGCCGGAAGCAGAGGAAGTAGATTGTGAATATTTCATGGTGTCCTGCTTGTTTCTCAGGGGGTGAGGTATTTTTCTTATTTCAGGAATATCCAAACTAGAAAAGTATCTTCAGGGGCATTGAGGTTTCGGCCTCTTCACGTGTCTGTTCACATGTTTACAATTGCTTAATTCTTCTTGGTTGCTCTAGAAACAAACGTTAACTCCAGAGATATCTCATTGAAGGTTAGCTACGGAAACTTGATAGAAGAGTCTTTATTTATTTATTGCAATAGTAGCATTGCATTTGAGGAAATTATTTGAGTTGCTATGGTTGCATCTAGGAGCAGGACAGGCAGTATTGTGTTTCCATTCTCCTTGCATTTCAGATTATGAAGCACCAATTTGGGCCATTTGAACAAGTTTTTGGTTGGGGAAAGTATTCTACCATGTCTTGGTACGTTCTTCCTCAACGGAATGTTCCAGCTACTTTATGTTGGAACTACAACTCCCACAATCCTCATGTTCTTTAGGGCTTCTGTAGGCCCTGCCTATTGTTTATAGTGATAGGAAGAATATTTTACTGAGATACTTTGCAGAGTGATACTGTGGTGGGTCTTTGAGGATTGAAGATAAGCTGCTGGATCCACTAATGATTGGCCAAAGCTAATCGTTTGAACATTTGTCACATGCCTTTCACTTTGATATGAGCGATGGCTTATGACAAAAAAAGCATTGTGGTTTACTGGCTGCAGGACAATTCTTTAACTTTCTTTATCTAATACTGCCAACTATTAAAATCTCTCAGCATGTTTATAAAAGGGTAAAATAAAAATTCAGCCGAGATATTGACATAGAACTAAACCCAGTGACTGGGATTTCTAGAGAAGAAAAGATATGAATTCATTATATTTTTATCTCACCTTTCCCTAAAAACTCAAATGTAACAAAGATGAATATATTGCTTATAGAAAATTGTCTTAAACAAAATTAAAGCTAGTTTTTTATCACAATGATTTACTTGCTTTATCCAAGAGATGAAGAACTAATTGGTCATCTGTTGTGGATTAGAAGGCCAAGTATATATGGAATTTTGGCTTTGCCTATTGCAAAAACTGAGAGACCTTAGTTAGGGTTAATTCTTGCTTTGTTTGCTGCATTGTTCTCTGGTAAGCCAAACCAAAACCCTCTCTGCAGATAATTTAACCAAACTATGAATGGCTTGTTACCACAGCCACTCTAGTGAGTGAAAAGGCAGATTTCTTAACAAGTCGCTCTTCCATCTTAAGCAATTAGTTCACCGAATTATCTTCTTTAGAGTCTTTTCCCCAAAGTGTAAGACAGAAAAAGTACTATTTAATATTATCTGCTTACCAGTGCCTTTTAAAACGGGACACATGGAAATTGGGGCATTTATTTGGACAATGTATGCTATGCCACTGAACTGTGTCTTTGTGCCAAAATCCTTTTACACACATACAAAAAGGATCACTGCAGAAATCATTAAAAGGAGCCAGGTTGAGCTGCTCAAGATTAGGGAGAGGACTATACCTTAAAGACAGTCTGATTGGTCTTAAGATGGGATAGGTTCAGAATGAAGATGCAGTGGGCCTGAATTATCTACTGCTTGTGCAGAATGTATCCCATAGTATATTAAAGGATTTGGATTGTTTTCGTTGCTCTAATTCGCCTCTTCTCCTATCCCCTCAAATCAGTGGGTAATAAATGTGAGGACCTGTCACGGAAGCAAGTAGAGACAGCTGATGCCCGGCGGTTCAGTGAGCAAATGGGAGTGCGGCTTTTTGAGACCAGCGCTAAGGAGAACCTCAACGTTGAAGAGGTAGAGGCAGAGGTGGTTAGGAGGGCAAATGTGGGAAGGGAAACGGAGGCCTTTGGTGTTTCCAGAGGGGATGGCTGGGGCTTTGGGCTGAAAAAAACCTGGTAAGATTTTTCAATTCCCTCCCCCTTGTATATTCCATCCATAGATGTTCAACGCCATTACCACCATGGTGCTCCGAACGAAACAGGAAAATCTGGCACGGCGGCAACAGCAGAACGAGGTTGTCAAAATCAATAAGCCCAAAAAGAAGCCTTCGGTCAAGAAATGCTGCTGAAGGGACAGCCCCTGTAGATGCCCTTTTCTTTTGGAGGGGGGGGGATGATGAACTGTGGGGAGTTGGGTGGGTGAAAAAAAATCATGGCTCATGTGATGTTGGGGATGGGGCTTCTGGATCTTGATCAGAGGGGCAGGAGAACCAGTATGAATCCTCCTAGTCCTGGAATTCTTCTGTTCCCCTTCGCTGGGGAAGTTGCGTTGTGGGGATAGAAAGCCAAATTGAAGCACTGCGTTCCCTGCCTGCTGATAGGTTGGGGTGGTGGTGTAGGTCGTGCTTACAAAAAGGGTGGGTGGGTGGGAAGTACCGAGCAGCATTAAAAAAAAAGACTACTGAAACAAATTATTAAGGTGATCAAAATAAAGAGGACGTGGGGAATAGCTGAGGCCAAGGAAATTGTCCTCCCCACAACTGGAAAAAAAACAAAACCTCTTCTCTACAGTGATGCCTGCTCATTGTATTTTATTTCTCCACTTCTGGTCTGATGGCTGGGTGCTGGAATTGCAGAATACAACCGATATTCAAATTTCACTCATGGCAAGAATGCTGCAGGGTGAGGGAGAAGGTGGGCATTATGATTATTTTGGCGCAAGCTCCTCCTCTGTAGCTGTACCTCAGTTTACATAATAATAGGAGGAAGTGGAAGAAATCCAGCAAAACATTTCAGAATTTCCCATCCGATAGTATTGGGGTTTTTCCTTCTCATCTCTCTTTAGCCTTGCTCTGAATAGGAATGGTTTAGGACCAAGCTATGTTGCTCTCCTCTTAGGATTTGGAGAGTTTTCCATCTCTTCATTAGCCCCGTCCTTCAATCCAGATGTTGTGAGAAAATAGCCAACTGTCCACATGATGGGCTTGAAAAAGGACTTTGTCACCTTTGCAGCTATAATTGGAGTACCATTCAGTCATTCATGTTTACCTCCAGAAACAAAGTAAGAAATGGAGGCATAAACTTTTAATATAGGAATATGAAATTATGTCTGGATTCAGCTGATAAGTTGCCAACTTATGATTCCCAACCTTTGGGTATTACAGAGACTGTCCCCTTTCAACATTGGGGCCCTCTGTACAATTTATTTGCTTCATTAATTATTTTATATACACCCAACTCTGTAGATAAACTAAAACATCTCATTTTAACCCACTGCTAATGGCATCAGACTTGTTAAGGATATACCACTGTTCAATAAAGACATTTAGATATAAAAACACTTCTGCTTTTATTTGCCTGTTAACACCCATTCCTTAGATACCAAAAGGAAGAGTTCATCTTTATGCCAGCTCCTCTCAAATAACATTTGGCAGTGTAAAAGTGTTGAATCCTCTTTATTGGAAACAAAAAGTCAAGAAAAAAAACTTAAATTCTTCCAACTTTGATGGACATTAAAAATATGTGCTAATCAAGTATAAAAGAAGTGGTTGGAATGCCCATCTAACCCTTATTTAAAGTATATTACAGTATCCAAGTAAGTATTCACTGATTGCTTATTGAAAGAGAAAATATAGTGATATATATTGAACTTAGTTCCAGGTATACTGTACATTATGGGGATGGAAGAGATAAGATCAGATTATTGCAGCTGGCTAAAAACAAAAAATGCCACCATGGCCGAGTAAAATATTTGTAGTGAAATGTTTATATTGACTGGATAAAGGTGCTTTTTGTTGACACAGCCAGACAGAGAACTGAATCTCACTTCAAAGGGAAGTAAAATTAGGGTTGGTGGTTCATATTTCCATTTCCTCTTGGTTTGACACTGCTTCTAGATGGGGCTGGACCGATGAGGGAAACATCAGTGTCCTAATGGTGTGCAAGAGGGAGTTACTCTGAGGGCTCCACAGGACAACTTCGGTACAAGGATTCCTGTGAAAATTAGGGAAGCTGATTAATTTTCAGTCCATTTTCATTATTATATCTTCCTTCCTGCAAGTAGTCTTTGACATACGACCGTAATGGAGCCTGCCCATTACGGTCGCAAGTGGTGATAGCTCTTAAGCGAGGTGGCCTTGCTTAAGAAATTCCCACCTCACCAGTCGTTAAACAAGGACTACCTGTACTTCATTAATACTCACAGAGAAAGAAACATTTCTTCAGGGGTGACACTGCTTTCTTCAAGTCCTTCTAACATGAAAGAAGACGGCACCAGCATAGGGCAGTCTCCCATCATGAATTCACCATCTACAATGACTGTAGTCAGCTCTTCCTCTGTAAAGTTGGTTTCTTCACTTGCTCCATCTTGAGACAGCCTGAGATGTAGAAGGCCATGTGAGGAAGTCATAATATTCTACTTCCCTGAACCCAGTTTTGTTAAAAGCACAAAGCTGCTATGCTTTCTGGTACCTCTGTTGTAGCTCTTTCAACTGTGCGTATGCCTGCTGCCATCTGGGGTTTTCACAGCGGACAGGGAAGCCGTTAGAACTGTAGATGTGGTCATTGTCCAGACTAAGGGAGTTAAAACGGGCAGCCATCTTCTCCTCTGAGAGAAAATGTTTAGAACTGGGTTCCCTGTTGAGGTGCAGAAAGCAGTAAAAATTCACTCCCCGATCCAATAAAATCCTAGTTAGAACTGAGGAGTGCCGAGCTCACCATGGTTAAACTAATACACCCCTTATGGAAGGTGGCACTTCATTAAAAACATTTTAGAAAGTTTCTGCAAACAAGGAGGACCTCCAAAACACAAGGTGGTCCTTTATACAGTGTTTCTCATCACTTATGTTGCTGAATGTCTACACCATGATAGCATGAGAAGGTTCCAGAAAGCAACATGAAGGGGAAAGCTTAATCACAGGTTATTAGTTGACAGCTTGGTTTGTTGGGTTACCGCTTAGTCTTGTAAACATATAGTGACTTAACATCTACCTCTGAACAAAAACTTAAATTTTGCCAGACTAAGCCATCAAATGCCATCTGTATACCCAATAATATGGAATACAAAAATGAATTGGGGCAATTTTTTTTGTCAATGCCTTCTTAGCTGTAGCTGTCATTTTCCTCCACACTTACGGATCTTGGCTTTCCAGATGTCGCTTGAAAGCAAGGGATACTGATCGGTACCTAAAAAAGGGAATTAGACTTGTATTAAGAAGCTAAACATTCTTGATTATTTTTGCACCAGCAACATACTCTTAAAATAAAATAGTAATAGCACTTAGACTTATATACCACTCCATAGCGCTTTACAGTACTCTCTGAGCAGTTTACAGTGTCAGCATATTGCCCCCAATAATCTGGGTCCTCATTTTAGACCTCAAAAGGATGGAAGGCTGAATCAACCTCAAGCTCAGAATGGAACTGGCTGTGGGCAGAGTCAGCTTGCAATACTGCATTTTAACCACTATGCCACCACAGCTCATAAAATGTCTAACGCAGACATGTCAAACTCGCGATGTCGCGCAACATATTGGAGTTTTGCCATTGCCGGCAATGGGGTGGGCGTGGCTCCGGTATGATAAAACCGGCCTGCGGGCCGGCAGTTTGACACCCCTGGTAACGGCTCCTTACTGCCTTTGAAAATCCAAAACCTTCCTTTTGGTATCACTTTTATAGTACTTTTATATGTCATACCCCAAGGTGTAGTCCACTCCCAAGTCCTTCACAGCTTAGATACAGAATTTTTGAAATATTTCCCAATCTGTTTATTGTCACAGTTATTTCAGCAGCAGACAAAACTCCTGCCCAAGCTTTTGTTATCTTTTATGGTTTAACTGTTGGAAGCTACTCAATAAATGATTTTACAGTTTAACTAAGCTGTGCTTTTAAAATGTTTTTGTACAGAAGGCAGGTTGTATGCCACCAAGTTGGCAACAACTCTTTGTAAACAAATAGATTTTCTCTAAAAGTAATGCATATTAGGGTGCTACTCAAAAATACTATTAAATATCCAAATAAACCTGCTGATACATAGCTTGCTATTGCCTTCTTTGCCTCAGCACCCTTCATCATTTTTCCTTTGAAGCAGAGCTGGGCACCCCTCTGGGGCATATCCAGCCCTTTGGCTGTCCCCGTTTGGCTTGCATGAGGTCAATCGGAAATTAGAAATCAAGTGTAAATAAGTCTACAATCCTATTAGTTCAGCCTTCCACAACAATCCGAGTTTCTCATGTGGCCTCTTGGGAAAATTGCCTACCCCTGCTCAAAGGAAGGCTAGTTGAGCCACAGCTTGAGTGCCACAAAGATGCCTCTAGCAGCTTTCTTGACATCTTTTTAGATGCTGTGTGAATAAATGCTAGATGGATGAGTTCTCTATCTCACACCTAAGCCTAAACAGAATCTTTTCATATTTATCTGAAAGCCTAACAGCATATGATTACCGAGACCCTTGTACACCACTGAAATTCACCAATCTGTGTCTGGGTTTCATCCGTGGAATGGTGCATGGCACATCACGTTCCCAGCTTGGGAGGATGTTGTGGCTACAGCCCATATTCCTCGACAAGACAGAGCAGTGCAAAAAATGCCCAGAAGAAACAGCTGAAGGAGACCCTGGGTTTATTGTAGGATTCATCTGTGGAGTAAAGCAAAAGAAAAGTTTTTTTTAAAAAAAATTCTCAACAGCGATGTGAGCGTCTTGAATGGGTCATGCTGAATTTGAGCACTTTTGAGAAGGGCAACTTAAGTCAGACTTGGATAGCATTTGTTGGGTTTTTTATATATAACTTTTTAAAATTAAAAAAAGCAAATACAAACTAACATAAAAATAAGGGAGCAGATAACAGGGAAAGATTAAAAGGTGACAAAAATATATAAAAAGTGACCAACTTTCAGTACAATTACAAAATACAGAAACCTCTAAGATTTAAGTTCTTTATTGGGCCCCAAAATTCTACGCAGGCATTTATCAGGAACTGAACTGAGCTCTGCTAAAAGTATCTTGACTTTTTAAAAATATTAGTAGAGAGCATAAAAAACCATGCAGAACGCTTAGGTGCACACCAATTGTAGGTAGTCCTTGACTTATTACACAATTGTTAAGTGAATCACTGCAGTTAAGTTAGTAACATGATTGAACGTTACTGAAGCCACTGAATCTGGCTTCCCCCATTGATTTTGTCAGGTTACAAAAGATCATATGATCCCAGGCCACTGCAATTATCATAAATATATGCCAGTTGCCAAGCATCTGAATTTTGATCATGTGACTACACGGATGCTGCAACGGCCTTGTGAAAAGCAATCATGTCACTTTTTTCAGTGTCGTAACTCTGAACAAATGGTTGTAAATCGAGGACTATCTGTATAGTAAACGTATGTTCTTGGAAAAAAATAAAGGACACATCCAAAAAAATGGGCAAATCTGAAAAGAGTTTTAAAAAATCTGTTTATAACTTTGCTTTACAAAGGAAAATTCAAGAGCAAAACCAAGGAAAACTTTATAAAATCACGTATTGTAATAAACATACCCTAAATCAAATCATTTATTTGCAAAAACTCCATTCAATTGAGAATCAGCTACATCAGGGATTGCAATTTTTTTTTACAAAGCAAATGCCTTGATTTTCAGAGCTCTCGGCAGTTCAACTCCTGAGCACAATCGCCGCTAAAAAAACACCTTGCAATTTCTTAGGCAGGGGATCAAGGATTACAAGGCTCACAGGGGATTTCCTTAACCCCCCAGGTCATCAGGCCCCTTCAGGATAAGACAAATTCGCTTTGACTGGACTTCCCTTTGCTGATACAGCCCAGCTTACATATTGGGGGGGGGGGAGTGAGTTCCCAGCAAGCTTTGCGCCCTTTGGCAGCCATTTTTAGGGCGTTCCCGATGCCTTAGAGCGCGCAATCAAGAATTTCGAATCCCAGCATGCCTTGCGCTGGCCTAATGGCCTGCCACTAAGCTGGGGTGGCGTGACCATGATCACAGGAAAGGGCGTGGCTCTCTGAGGGTGGGGTAGGGTGCCCGGTTGATCCTTTGCACGTGCGCGCTGTGGAGAAGAAATTGAGCAACTTGTAACGGTCAGTGCACGCGCACGCTGCCGGGTGGGAGGCGGGGAATGAAAGAGAGGTTAGAGTGCGAACCGGACGGTAGGATGTGCGCATGCTCTATTCCATTGCAAAATTAACCAAAAAGAAAAACAATTCTTACCGTCCTTAAGATTATTTCTCACTCTGTTCTCACAATAGTTGCACCACAGCCAGACGGGAAAATTAGAAGCGCCACAATCATCACGTGAAGAGAAGTGATGCTTAATGTCAGGGATTGTGGGAAATGTAGTTCCCTAATCAGTACCTTATATAGGCTGAAACGAGGAATCCCGTCATACTTTGGGTTTTGCGTTCGGGTCTCTCTATCTTCGTTTAACCATGGAGATGCTGAATTGATGGCTCGCGCCCCCTACCGTCTGCTTTTTCCATTTCGAAAATGATTGGAGTCAACCAGTAGTTTATCGGACTCGCTGGGGTAGATGGGAGTTGTAGTTCAGCATAGGTGAAACTTGATTGATTTAATAGATTAAAATGCAAAGTACGTTTCCCGCCATTTGAGCTCTAAATTTGGGCCGTGAAGGAAAATGAGAGACCTCAGTTAGTTGTTTTGTTTGCTGCATTGTTCTCTGGCGAGCCAAACCAAAACCCTGTGTTTGCAAATCATTTAACCAAAGCCACTCTAGTGAGTGAGAAGGCAGCTTTCTTAATGAGTCGCTCTTCCATCTTAAGCGATTATGTAGTTCACAGAATTATCCTCTTTAGAGTCTTTTCTCCAAGATGGGATAGATAGGAGTTGTAGTTCATCATAGGTGAAAGTTGATTGATAGATTAAAATGCAAAGCATGTTTCCCCCCATTTGAGCTCTAAATTTGGGCCGGGAAGGAAATTTGGAAAGGAGCAACTAAATTAGCAATTTAGGTGCTTTAAGCCTGCAAACCATGGCAACTTTAAGCTATGTGGACTTCAACTCCCAGAATTCCCTAGCCACCATGCTAGCTGGAGATTTCTGGGAGTTGAAATCCACACAGCATAAAATTGTCAAGGTTGAGAAATACTGCTTTAAGCAGTTCATTTTTGTTGCAGTGTGGTTTCTATTTTATCCAGTTATGTCTGTTTTTAATTATTTTAATTAGATTTTTTTGAGAATTCAATATAAATATATCCAACTTTTTGGGGATCAAATCAAATGTGTGGTGGCAAAATATATTCCTTGCAACAAAATGAGAAGCAAATGGCAATTAAGCAGACATGGCAACAAAGTAAATAACAATGAAATCACAACAGAATGAAACTCAGTTGCTGCTTACTGATCACATCAACTTGCGTTGAATCCAATTTGTTTCCAGTGAAATTGAATATACTGTATATGTCAGTGTGGGCATGCAGAATAGTGTAATATTAAAATGGAGACTGCTGCTAGTCTGTCTTTTGCAGTCATCCCAGGAGGATCTGCTGAAAATACAAGTAGTCCTTGAGTTATGACCTTAATGAAGCCTGCCCATTACAGTTGTAAATCTTAATGGTTGATTTTATAATGTTTGTGTGGTGGTGGTTAAGTGAACCATTGGTTTGGATTGCTGCTTTGCTGAAAACTGAAAGCAACTGGTTTTCAGCGAACCATCATAAAATACAGCCATGTGATTGTGGGACGCTGCAAAATGGCCATACATGAAGCCATGTTGCTGAGTGCCTAAAGCAGAGGTGTCAAACTCGTGACGTCATGTGACGTGTCACGACGTATCGTGACATTTTTCCCATTGCCAGCAATGGTGTGGGTGCGGTTTCGTCGTGACACATCCGGCCCATGGGTTGGCAGTTTGACACCCCTGGCCTAAAGTGCAGTCATATGATTGCGGGGAGGTGTCAGAACTTCAGATCTGGGTCGTAAGTTCTCTTTTTTGGATTGGGTTGTAACTTCAAATATCGCTAAAGTCGTAAGTTGAGGACTACAGCTACAAGGGTGCTGGCGAAGGCTTCTGCTTTTCTACTTTATCTCCATGTCAGGAAATTGTGAATTTATTATAGATTTCCTTTGGGGGTGGTTTTTTTTTTTTAGCTTACTTCATTGTGGATATACTGAAACTAAAGTTGATTTTTGTAATTGTTGCATCTCTTTCCATTCCCCCAAAGCCTTCTCAGTCTGTAGAATCCCATTGACATCTTTCTTTGGAATTTATTTATTTAGGGCAGGGCTTTTCAACCTTTTCACCCATTGTACCACTTTTAGGATATAGCAATATCCGAGAACCACCAGTCGCCTAGCAAGGTGTCAAAAACGTGATGACCAAAAAAGAAAAAGGAAAAAAGTGATAAAATGCAGGTAGTCCTCAACTTACAACAGTTTGCTTAGTGACTGTTCGAAGTTACAATGGCACTGAAAAAAGTGACCCCCAAGGCACAGCCGAGCAAGACACCTGTCTGCCCGCCTGGCGGCGCTCTTCCTCCTGTCCGAAGTTTTCATTGTTGTGAGCATTTCTGTTGAGGATTGGCTGAGGGGTGTTTGGTTTTTATTCCCCCCCCTGTCTGCTGGGTGGTTGCAGCAGGTTTTGGTCACTTCACATGACCCTGGGACACTGTGACCATCATAAATATGAATCAGTTGCCAAGCATCTGAATGTAAATCACAAGACCCTGGAGATGCTGCAACATTCCAGCTAATTGGCGCTTCTTCTGGGCTCAGCAGAAGCACCAGGATCAGCGCCGAGCTCCAGCTGGAGCCTGGCGCTGATCCTGGCGCTTCCGCTGAGCCCTGACAGCCCTGCAGCTCCAGCCATCTCTCTCTCAGACTTGTGCGTTGCTGCCACCGGTTCAGCTCATTCCCCTCCCCCACTAACACTTTTCTAGGATGCTCGCGTACCACCTGCCAGGTTCCAATGTACCACAGGTGGTACCCGTACCACTGGTTGAAAAGCCCTGATTTAGAGTATGGCATATCATATATGGACTAGCAATATAAATTAACATTTCAACTAGATTAATAGAACCCAATAAAATATAAGTGTCAAAAAAACTATGTTCAAATATGTCTAGGCCATCTAACCATTGAAGCGCAGCATTGTTTATATTTAAAAAAAACCAGATATTGGTCCGGTATATGCCCTCAGCTAGTCGGTCATGATTTCTTTGGGATTTCATTGAGCCACAGGGAGCATCCTAGGTATAGAAGGTTGGAAATGTGATTGCATTGTGAAAGGCAGTTCATACACATACAGGTGCATGAGTGTGAGTTGGACAACTTGTACAAGTGCAAGAACACCATCCCTTTCTACTCACGAGTATTCGCTGAAATTATCCTTTGAAATAAATGTGGGAAGTGAATTTTGTCATCACAATGAAGGAGAATTGTTAAGGAAAAATGCAGGCAATTTTTTTTTAACAGTTCTGTGTGCTAGTCTCAAAAGAATCAGAGTTAGACCTCCTGTTGTGGGTAGGAGCCTAAGACTATTTCTGTACCAAGAGAAGCTAGTTGCTACTTAAGAAACCCACAAAGAACATCTCTGGATGCAGCCTAAATGCATCTCTGCTTTATCAACAGAGTTTTTTTTTTTAAATTCGCCTTCTCTTTTGCTAGATGGACATTCAACGATCTCTTGAGCTCTTGCACATGACCATATACACTCAGAGCATCTCACCTTGTGGCAAATATTTAGCAGCCGGAAACAACTATGGAGAAATTGCCATATTCAGGTATTTGGGTGTGGCTTATCACTGGATGTGCTTTTCTTTTATTGTTTTTAAAAAAGCGAATTATCCTTGGGTTAACCTTCACTCTTTTTTTTTCTTGGATAGCCTGTCAGCAGCATTAAGTTCAGAAGCCAAAGAGGACAGTAAGAAGCCAGTGGTGTCCTTTGCAGGTTGGTGATGGTGGTCTGGCTAGCAGAGAAAAGCTAGAGGTGCCTTAGCTTTGCCTATAGCAAAGTTTCCGAATCTTGGCAATTTTAAGATGGGTGGACTTCAACAGAAATATTAGCCTATAATAACCTGGCTTGTTCTTCTATGCTCAAGTTAAGGCTGTGTGTAGTCAGCAGACAGCATGGTTGGGCCATCTGTCTCTAACCCAGAAGGAGTTCTTCATTTGGCATCAATGTGGTTGAGTTTCTTTGGTTCAGCTGAGGATTCCCCAGAAGATATCACCCTCCTGAGGCAACTTCCCTGTTAAAACATCCTTCTTCTTTCCATAGCCCACAGTGGAGCTATCTATGCCATGCTGTCCACCGATCGGCAGTTGTTAAGTGCTGGCAATGGAGAGGTCAAAGCCTGGAACTGGAGCGAGATTGTGAAAAAAGTATGAGTTGGGTTGCTGTCCTACCCCTTCCCTCCTAGCCTGGCTATAGTTTTCTGACTTCTGTTATTCTTAAAATGCCTTTCCTTGCCTTCCGTTATAGAGTTGCAAAGAGGCTTGGAGTAGGAGGCCACCTTATGGGTAAAGCCTAGTTTCCTTTTTTTTTTTTTTTGCTATTATTTTTTTCCTGCCCATGAAAATGTTGAGATTGAAGGTTTGCCTGTCCTTTCCTCTTTAGAAGTAGACTTGAAGTGCCAGAAATTAACAGCCTTCAATTGAACCTGAAGGTATGGCCACTGGGCTGCCTTGGGATGGGTCAATACAGCTCAGGAGGCTTCATCATGCCACATTCTTTCATTTCTCCCTCACCTTTTCCAGGATAATACTCTTTTGATGGCTGGAGGTGACTGTGTCATTCACATGATGAACTTGGAGACTGGAGCCTTTACTGTGAGTCCTCCAGGTGTGGGGAAATAAACCAAAAAGATTTTATGGACCTTTTAGCCTTTCTGATTGACTCAAATAGCCTTTTCTCATTTGGTATTCTCAAATTGTTCTTAAAATCTGGAAGCTCCAATTAAACTGATTTATTCCCAATCTTTCTGTGCAGAGGAATCTTTTCAGCTCACCTTCTTGGAGTTAGATAAATGGAATGGAATTCAAGGGAAGTTAGTTCACTTGTGGCTACATAGGGGTTCTAGGTTGAACCCTCTTTTGACTCTGCCCCAGGTTCTGCCACTCCTTCTCCTACAGAATCGGTACTTTTTATCCAGATTGAGGGAGGGAGGGAGATGATAGATAGATAGATGATAGATAGATAGATAGATAGATAGATAGATAGATAGATAGATAGATAGATAGATAGAGCATTAAAAACACACTCTAAATAAATGTTGATTACCAATCTTAATGCATCTATTTTGAGTACTCCGCCTTGTGCATTTGCCCATATTTTTACTTTCTAAATTTCCAGTGTGATTTTTCTCAACCAGGGAGCTTTTCATCTTATCACTTTCAGTGCTGTTGCTGAGAATCCATAAATTGAATTCAATAGATCTGAAAGTGTTTTCAATTTTCTTCTGTAAAGTCTGGTGAAACATGGTTATGAGTTTTATGAAAAGTAACCAGTTCCCTCATCAACACATATAATCGGTGCTGTCTGTACTATCTCAGGTCTGAAACCTGCCTTGAGCAGGTCTAGATAATCCTTCCATGGTCCTCTGAAGATGTAGTCTGATCACTTCTCAACAACCTTGTTCAGGAAGGGAAGGTTGAAGACTACACAAAAACTATTAAAAAACTTTGGGTCCAGCAATGACTTCTTGAAGAGAAAGGGTATCACCGCCTCTCATATTCACTACAGCATGGATTTAATGAACAGATAGCTTAACTGCCTTAAATATCCTGTTTATTCTTCAGCCTAATGACCTTCCACAGGAGAATTGCAGCTCTCAGAATTCATTGGGAGAGATGTTCAGGGGATTTTGGGAATAGTATATATCCATATAGATCAGAGGCATATTCTCTTTTGTTAGGAGTGAATAGCAACTCTGAGTGTGAGCCCCTCTGGTATCCTCTGTCTCTTTCACTGTTAACCAAAGTTAGAAAGCTGATTTGCATGGGCCATTATTGGAACACCAATATAGGTAGTCCCAAAGGTGCTTTTTCAAGAGGCAACTGGACTTTCTTGCTTTTCTTTGAAGACGTTTCGCTTCTCATCCAAGAAGTTTCAGTTCTGATTGGAGGTGGGGAATGGAAGTCAGAGCTGAAGAAGCTTCCTGGATGAGAAGCGAAATGTCTTCAAATAAAAACAAGAAAGTCCAGTTGCCTCTTGAAAAAGCACCTTTTGGGACAACCATGACCTGAATGACTGAGAATCTCCATAGACACCTATATAGGTAGACTTGAAGTCACTTTGCCTTCTCTGTCCCTTCCTCCCCCTCTCAGCGTGAATTTCAGGGCCACACTGATTATATCCACTGTTTGGCCCTTCGGGAGCAGCTCCGAGAATGTCTATCAGGAAGTGAAGATGGCACCGTACGTCTTTGGGGTAGGTGTCTCCTATGTCAGACTCTGACTCTCTCTTCCTTTCATATGTGTCCCCATATCTTTATAAAAGATCTAACAGTCTTTTAGACCAGGGATGGGCAACTCCTCCCTGCTGGCTCAGGAATTCTGGGAGTTAAAGTCTACAGGTCATAAAGTTGCCATAGTTGCCTAACTCTGCTTTGGACAAATGCAGTGTTCTCTGGATATGTGAACTTCAATTCCCAGAATTCTCAGCAGAGGCCATACCGGCTAGGGAATTCTGGAAGTACCTCCACAAATCTCACAGGCTGTACTACAGGAGCATAATATATGTGCCTTACATTAAATTAATTAACAGTCCACTTACCTCTAGAAGCACAGTGACTCAGTGGCTTAAAAGATGCTGGAGAAGACCTGTGCTCTGAAAGTTTGAGTTCTACCACAGTGTGATGGAGTGAGCTCTTGTCACTTGCCCCAGCTCCTACCAACCTAGCAAGCAAATGGACATAGCTAAATAAGTACCACTTTGGTGGGAAGTAACAATGTTCCGTGTTTTGCTGCATGCTCTGCGCTGTGGTGTGATGTCACGCTGGCCACATGATTGCGGAAACGTCTTCGGACAGCCTTGGCTCAGTGGCCTAGAAATAGAGATGGGCACTGTCTCCTAAAGTTGGCTCTGACTAGTTGAGTAAAACCTACAGGGACTCCTTTTCCGACTTATTTCATGTTGCATGATTAGTAGCAGACTTCTGGGATTTCTGACTGAACATGTCGGATTGATCTGAGACTTCTGCTTACAAAGTTTGTGCTTTATCACTCAGCTGCATTCCTTCCCTTCACCTTGTGGGAAGTCAGCCCCCCAGAAAGAAAAGTCTTCATCGTGGTTCAGTCCAAGCTGGGAATAAACATGGCGACTGCTTTAGAAAGAAGGTTGCAGTTTATTGAAGAGGAGAGCCAGACAGAAATATGGCTCTGGCAGAAAAGAGAGTGAACACATATAGGGAGTGGGTTTTTATACCCTCTGGAGCTTTTTGTTTGGAGTTGTTTCCTGTTCCTGTTTGAGGCTATTTCCTGTGTCATGTATTTTGACCTGTGTCCCTTTGGCATCTGTGAGTTAATCCTATTATGTCCTGTCTTAGACTTTGGATTGGGATATGTAGATTTTAGGTGTCTTTGTCTTCTTAATCTTCTAGCTGGGAGGCCTCCATCTGCATTTCTACAGAGCTGGTTTCTGCCTGGGGGAGGGAGACCTGGGGCTATTAAGAAAAAACTGGGCATGCTTTTCTGCTCTTTAAGATCCTTTGAGGAAATATATTTTTCTGCCCTTTTAATATTTTCTTCTCTGGGGGGCTGATTTCCCACAACCTCTAAAGCAAACTTGCATCTGGGTCCTGTCAGGGCAGAACTTCATCTATGTTGGCCCTAGTGTGGTGGAACAGGCTCTGTATGCAAAGCTACCACAGTCTGGTTTGAGCAGAATGCAGAATGATAAGGCTTCCTTGGGTGATTGTAAATACAGATGTTTCTGAACTACAACTCCCAGGAATCCTTCACTGTAAGTTGTATTGGCTTGATCCAGTTTAAGCAGAGTTTGAAGAGCTGTATGTTTCTAGTCTATTTGGTGTTGTTTTTGTTTCTGCCCCTAATTTGCTGCCTTCCAGATGCAAGGGGAACGAATGCTGGGCAGCTCAACACATCTGAAGGATGTTGTTGTGATTTTAAATCAGAAAGAAAATCCTGTTTTAAGGCCAGTCTTTTATTTTTTTTTCTTTTAATCTGGTTTTCAGATTTACGTACAGGAGGTCAAGTCCAATCAATTGAAGTCCACAAATATGAGGTATTTTCATCTTAACCTGAATTTTGAATTGTAAGCCTTGCAGAGTCATTGATTGGGACAGGTGGCTATAGACATTGAATGAATGAATGAATGAATGAGTGAATCTTCTTTCTCCAAAACTCAGAATGCATAATAATTCTGTACTCCTTATCCTTTTTTCTAGATTTGACCATAGATATTTTTTTTAAAAAATTAGGAATTTAAGTCTTATTGATTTTAGTGAGCCTGTTGGAGGGGGACTAATGCAAAGATCAGTTTTTAATACTGTGAGTCTAACTCAGTGGTTCTCAACCTGTGGGTCGGGACCCCATTTGGGGTCGATCGACCATTTCACGGGGGTCGCCAAGCAAGGCTGTCCGCCATTTTTTTGTCCGCCATTTTTCCCCCCTTTTCCGGCAGGTGCCTTACCTCCCTTGGGCTGGGCCAGCTGGTGGTCGGCCTGCTCCGTCTCTGCCGCTTGCCAGCTACGCCTCGGCCGGCGCAGGGGGCGGAACCACGCATGTGCGGCGCTCCCGGGCAGGGAAAGTCCTCGACTTACGACCGGTTGGGTAGTCCTCGGCTTATGACCGGTTTAGTCCTCGACTTATGACCGGTTGGGTAGTCCTCGACTTACGACCGGTTTAGTCCTCGACTTACGACCGGTTTAGTCCTTGACTTACGACCGGTTGGGGTCACGGCATTAAAAAGGTTGAGAAGCACTGGTCTAACTACTACTTAATTCAGCAGTTTTCCTCTAAAAACTCTCCTTAATTCTTTTAGGAATGCAGCCGCCCGCAGAATGGGAAGTGGATCAGTTGTTTGGCGACTGACTCTGACTGGATGGTGAGTCTCTCAGCAACTTGCATTTCTGGAGATGCAGCTGGCAAGGGTGTTCCAATTGTTTGCATCATTAATAGGGCTTTCCTGATTCCTGGGTTAGCTCTCTTCATAACATTAGCTCATCTGCATACTATTCAAAAGAGACAACCAAGAAGCTCAAAAGGAAACAAAAAGACCAGAAACATCTGCTTGCCAGCAATCAACACCCAGATAAGCAGAGAATAATACCAAGATTAATACAAGCAGTAAACATTACCCCAATCAAGGAACTGCCAAACAAACAGCCTAATCAAGGATCCACTGAGAATACTCCCAACAACACTGACAGGGCAAGCCACTGATTTATTTATTTATTTTCACTATTAAATTTCTACATAGTCCATCTCCCCTACAAGGTGACTCTTAAATAAATAGAGAGGAAACCCCACTCCCTTTCTGGCTCTGATGATGTTACCTAGCTGGGTAATGAAACATCTGCCAGAAAACAACCACGTTCAGAGAACACCAAGGACCCCATAGCTCTTCCTTTTGGAGCCCCCGATCTCCAGTTTATTCTGAAGCGGGTGATTGATTTATAGATTGAGAGTTCAAGCTTTAGAGAGCACCAGGTTGGGGAACGAATAATCTGAAATACTTTTTTTAAAAAAATGTCACAGGTGTGTGGCGGGGGCCCAGCGCTCACTCTTTGGCACCTACGTTCAGTGACACCCACCACTGTATTTCCCTTGCCTCAATGCCAGCAACAAGCCATGTTCTACCAAGATCTGGTAAGTCTTACATCCTTGAATTTTAGGTCCTGCACAATTGCCCCACGATATATTTTGACATCCTTGCTTTTTCTTAATGGTGGTTGTTGCTTTGCTGCCTTTGCCTCTTTACTTAACTATTATTATTCTCATTCTTCCGTCCCGTTAAGCAGTCTTTCTTTCCTCATCTTTCACAGATTCTCTCTGCTGGCCACAGCCCGACCATTAATCACTTACAGATCAGCGGAGAAGTGAAGGCCCAAATCCCTTGCATCCCACGTTGCGTTCATTCCATTTCCATCAACGAACACTCTGCAGAGCATAAGGTACCTCCAAGTTTGGGAGCAGAATGAGGGATAGTAGATGTTGCCGCTATAAAACTGGATGAACGGGGTGGAGCTCAAATTGGCTAGGCGGAGCCTAAAATCCTCATGAGCTCCCCTCCCCCATAGCTTAGGCCCCTTTTGTATAGGAGCCCTAACCTATGTGGGAGAGGAGAAGGTAGTTGCGGGGTCCCCCCCCCATTTTGGGAAGGAGACAGATACTTGTGTCTTTGATTTTGAAGAAACTCAGATCTTGGTAATAACATAGATTCATTAACCATAGTGTTTGTATCTAACTTCCTGTCCCATAAAGGGAGACTCCAATTCAGCTAATAAATACAGTGACAAGGCCAAAAACAGCAGTTGAACCAGGGTGAAATGAGAAATTTTAGCTATCGCTTAATAGCAATGGCACATAGACTTATATACCGCTTCACAGGGCTTTACAGCCCTTTCTAAGTGGTTTACAGAGTCAGCATATTGCCCCCAAGAGTCTGGGTCCTTATTTTACCGGCCTCAGAAGGATGGACGGCTGAGTCAACCTTGAGCCTGTCAGAATCCAGTTGCTGGCAGTTGGCAGAATTAGCCTCCAATATTGCTTTTTAACTGCACCACTATGGCTCTCTTAAGAGTCTGTTGTGTCCTGGGGCAGAAGATTGTACAGTATAGTTGAGTAGAAAATGTCCTGAGGCCCAACAGCTGCTAGGATTCTTCTGGAAATGGTGCTAGCACCAGTCAGCTACATTTTGAAATAGCAGTGCGCAAATCAGGAAGTTGGAGTTGTGGCTAGCTAGTCTGGTTCAGGCACCTCATGTAAACTCATCCCCAAAATCTTTTTCTCCCCCTTCAGGTATTGACAGCAGCTGGAAGCAGCCACTGCATCGACGTCTTCACCAACTTTGGATACCGAGCCTTTTCTCTAACTTTTACCTAAGATGCACATAGTGTCCTTTTGTGAATAATCTTAGTTTTGTGCAATTTCAAATCTGATATGGTCTAGGGCAGGGGTAGGCAACCTTGGCTCTTTTATGACTCGTGGACTTCAACTCCCAGAATTCCTGAACCAGCTCATAAAAGAGCCAAGGTTGCCTACCCCTGGTCTAGGGAACATCTCCATTCTAGGGGCATCTCTGATTGCTGAGGAGCCTGCCAAGTTTGCCTGCAAAGGGGGCCGCTCCCCCCACAAATTTTTGAGAGAAACTCCAAAAAGAGGCACCTGAAACAGGATTACTTAATGTAAAATTGAATGAAAGGAACTGAAACTTGCCTGTGTTTTCAGAAAGCGGACGTCCGAATTCTACTATTGATCTGCGTATTTCATCCTAGGACTGGACTGTTGAATCTATTCCCGAAGACATGGAAACTATCCTTCCCCCTTGTTTTTCTCCACTTAAAAATCAACATGTTTTCATCTCTACTTTCCTTTTTATTTTCATAGGTATTTCAACAAGGACTCTTGTTTGTTGGTCTGTTGGGTTTTTGAAGGTGGGAATAGCAATGGGAACTTTTGCAAGTTTAACTGCTTCAATTTATATATTTAAAAACATTGCACTGATCTCCCCCAAACAGCTGGAATGAGCTGCCAGAGTTTGGCAGCAGAGTATAGGTATTAGAAGGTCTTCAGATGGCTCCACACCCCGTTTCCACCCATATTTTTTATCTCCCCCCCCCCACACATCTCCTTCCTCCTATTTTCCCCACAACAGCTTTGTGAGGTGGATTGGACTGAGAGAGTGACTGGCCCAAGGTCATCCAGCCAGCCTTCATGTCTAAGGCGAGACTAGGACTCACAGTCTCCTATCGGTTGGCTCAAAGTCATATGTCCAGCTTTCATGAGTAAGGTAGGACTAGAAATCACCGTCTCCTGATTTTTAGCCTGATGCATTAACCACTAGACCAAATTGGCTCTTATTGGAGGGTGTGTTTGGAAATTCCACAATTATTTTTTAAAATTGGCCATTTTGCCACTATATGTTTGGTTACCAGTTGGATACTGTGGGGAGGGCATATCAACCTTACTCTGCTCTTGCTACCGGTATCTTGCCATTCTGGCTCTCATCCAGAACCAGCTAAGGATGATGGGAACAGAATAGCCAATCTGTTCAGGAATTAGCACCCTTGGATTTGAAGCCCTTGAATCTTCTGCCAAAATTTCCCTAGACAGTTTCACCCTCTTTCTTCTGTGATCTGAAGGTTGGAATAACTTCACGGTACGAAACAATTCCTTGAGATGGAGGAAAACTTATTTATTTATCATTATTTCATATTATTAGAGCTGTCCGACTCCAGTGGACTCTGAGCAGCATACAATCCCCTCGCCTCCCAAAAACCCATAAGAAGAGATTAAAAGCTAAAATCACATTCACAGCTTGGACTAAAATAATCTAGAAATGACACAAACTGAATCACGTATTCCCTCCAAACTTCCAAAATAATTATCCACAGGCCTGGGAACAAAGCCAGAATTCATGGCAGTATAAAGCAGTTTGTTCCCGAAGGGACCTCACAGGGTTTTTTCTTCAGTGGTTTCCACTTCCTCATACATACGTTCATCTTCCATTCTCTTCAGCTCTCTCAGTTCTTCCTGATGTCTTTCTTTAAACTCTCGGAGAGCTGCGGTTTTCTCTTCATAGTCTTGGTTGACCGAGCAACCTGCTGATTTGTGGCCTGGGACAAGATAGGCCGTGGCGTCCGCCAGCATGGCTGACACCTCATGGGCGAGGACCTCCAAGGACAAGGGCTGGTGGATGTGGTTGCTGATTTTGTACTGCTTGTTGAAGAGATTGAGAGGGTGTAGGAAGTAATGAGGGAGGTGTTTCTTCACCAGGGTGTGTTTCAGCAGCCCCAGAAGGGTCTTTAGAGAGGACAGCAGAGTCTCCCAGTCTTCTTTGCCATGATGGATCTCACAGCACCACAGTAAAACGGTCTGCAGGAGATGAAAAGCAACAGAACAATTCTTAGATCTTATGCTGACTTTGGAGGCCTCATGACTTCCTGGGGTTGAGTCAATCTTCATGCTCCTAGGTTTATATCAAGGAGGAGAGGAATTTGGGCAGTGTAATGGTTTTATTGCAGAGGGAGCTGAGAGATTATGAAAATAGAAGTCGGCAATTGGTGCTATCGGGACTAAATCATGCAAAGCTCTTGATAACACCGCAGCAGCAGAGAAGGAAAGGAGATTGCAGAAGAGAGGTGTTTTTATAACTACACAATTTTACATGCTCCCATGTAGGGTAGAAGTGAGCTTGTTGTACATTTATACAAGTACAAGTAGTCTTTGTTTAGTGACTGAAGTTACAACAATGAAAAAGGCATTGACTTGTGACCGGTCCTCACACTTAACAACCATCACAGCATCCCCACAGTTAGATGATCAAAATTTGGGTGCTTGAAAACCGCCTGCATTTATGATAGTTGCAGCATCCTGGGGTCACCTGTTCGCCATTTGCAACCTTCCCAGCCAGTTTACAACAAGCTAAATCAGTGGGGGAATCCAGATTCACTTAACCACTGCATGGTTCACTTAACTGCAGTGATTCGCTTAAAAACTGGCAAATAAAGGTCATAAAGTCAGGCTTGACTGACTTAACAACTGCCTTGCTTATCAATGGAAATTCTGGTCCCAATTCTGATCATAGGCCAAAGACCACCTGCATAAGGGGGAGTTTCAATGTATCTTCATGAGGGCGAGGTGGAAGCTTAATCTGGCCTAGCGTACAGTAAGTTCAGGAGATTCACCTTAAGATGGTAGGAAGTCAAAAGTTTGCCATACTCCGGGGTCCACCTAGTCTTGTTAACAAACTTAAGCAGTCGTAAAGCTGCCCGCCTCTGCCCTCCATCGGCGTCGACTTCCTTAAGGACCATCTCTTCAGCACAGCTGAAAGACAACCTGGTTCCAGGGGAAAATGGTGGTTAGGAATATTGTAACCGTTCTGCAAATAGGAGCTTTAGAAGTATGTATTCATCTCAGGCATCCTCCCTGTATGTTGTATGTTTGCAGCTTGCCTTCTTTTTTAACTTGGGCAGAAAAAGTGAAATGATGGAGCCTAGACTAGTCCATAATCTGGGAAAAGATGCAGCTGCTTTAAAGAGTTCCAAAGAGGTGCTAAATTGGCACCTCTATACATTAGGAAAGCATCTTTTTTTGATGAATTTTTCAAAGTAGATTGGTCACCTGCATATGATGGGCATTGTTAGCAACCAGTTTAGTGTTCCTCAACCTTGGCCACTTTAAGATGGGTGGACGTAAGACACGCTGGCTGGGGAATTCTGGGAGTTGAAGTCCACCCATCTTAAAGTGGCCAAACACTCAAGTGCAGAGCAACAGAAGCACACAACTTCTCAAAAGAGGCTTTCTTTCCAGTGAATCAATGAGATGTCATTCTTTCATTAAGGAAGGTAATATCAGCGTAGCCCTCCTTAGATGAGGGTTCAAGAATTCCATTAAAAGCAGAGTTTGGCAAACGCTTAAAACATTTTTTTGTTTGTTTTAAAACCCAGATAAGCACTCTAAAGCTCTAGTAAAAAATCCTGGCCCTGTTCCAATCAGGTGTTTTATTTTGCATCAATATCCAGCAGGGCTTAAAGCCATGTCCTGTTGCACTGGCTCAGCCTTGGCACCCCCTGCCCCCTCACCAAATGACTGGGGGGGTTTACCTCCAGAATCCTGCCTTTGGGACAAGCTCAGGCCCCACTTCTTTAAGGGCTTGTACCTTCCGGATGAAGCTTTTCTTTTCATTGCTGAGGTCACCGTCCCACCAATCAGAAAGGTGAGTGAGATCTTCCCTCATCCATTCGTTGCAGAACTCTACTGCCCCCCGAATGGTCGGCACCAGCTTCACTGGGACAGTTTCGTTCCCTTCGTTGAAAACTAACCGGATGGCTGGACCACTCAAATCCAAGGGCTCTAATTTGATGTTCCCTAAAAATGTGTCGGAGGGAAGCAACATCCAGGATATTATTACCCAAAGCGATACACAGCCCTGAGTTGTAACTACAGATAGTGTTCGACTTACGACCGCAATTGGGATCAGAATGTCCGTTTCTAAGCGAGGCAGTTAAGTGAGTCTTGCCCAATTTTACATATATATTTTTTTTGCCAAAACAGTTAAGCGGTCATAAAATGAATCTGGCTTCTCCCCATTGATTTTGCTGATTGGAAGCCAGCTGGGAAGGCTGCAGATGGAGATCGTGTGACCCCCTAGGATGCTGCAATCCTCATCAATTCATGACAGTCAAGTCGCCTGAATTTTGATCACGCCATGGGGATGGTGCAACGGTCATAAACGTGAAAGCTGGTCATAAGTCACTTTGGTTCAGTGCTGTTGTAATTTCAAACAGTCACTAAACAAATTGTTGTAAGTCGAGAATTATCTGTACTGCATTGCACAGTGGGAAAAATAAAACTAGTAAAAACAATGGCAGATATAAAGGTTAACTGAACAGGAAGTTCACACACACACACGCACACGTCACTCATATTTTGAAGTAAGACAGGTGAAATATTAGGGGGTCTTTGCCCAAGGATCCCTACTAGTAAGGTAGGTACCATCCAGGATTTGAACCCTGGTCTGCTACATGAAAGGCAGTTCTTTAACTACTACGCTATCCAGTTACTCATAATATACAAATGTTATGCAAATATCATACCATTATACAAACTTTATTTGCATTTATAATTATGACACACAGATTGTATATGTATGCATGTTCATTCATATGAATGAAAAAAGATTTCATTCATATGAATGAACATACATATGTATCTGATTTCCTTCATTCCTTCCTTCATTCCTTGGTTATCAATTTATGGCCAAGATTCCTCAGAATATCATACATAGCCAGAAAACAAACAAATGAATCATCAAATAAATCAATACAGAGAGTTCTGATTTGACGCACAACAATCCTACTCTGGACAAATTATGCAAAGACCTAGCAAAGAAGGCTTTGATGCTGGAAGGAAAGAGAGGAAGAAGACCACCATCAAGATGGAAGGGCTCAGTTAAGATGGCAATGGGTGTACCCTTGGACCAAGTTAGAAACAATCATCATTTAATGGCACATAATCAATTATAAAAGCATTCTTAAAATAGATTCTTTGGAGGTAGGGAGCTGGAATAGTGCCCTTCCTGTAGTATCTTTGTTCTGACTCACTGCCTGTACAATCCCATATTTTAATTTCAGATATATATTTGTGCGTAAATGCATATTTCCACATTTCATTGTTGTGGATCTATTTAAATGTACTTCTATTTCTAAAGTGGCTCAAATGCAAATAACAAAATCAATTAATCTGAGGCCTCTCATTTGAATTAAAAATGAAATAATGTTAAGATTGTTAAGTAAAGACAGCAACAAAGGGAATGGAATGGAACCCATTTGAAATTCAAAGTAAAAAAAAAAACCAAAAGGCCAAAAGGAATTAGTTTCACTCAAAGAATCTGCCTCTAATCATAATCTGATTCATTCCTGAGAAGTGTATGAAGATTCTCAATCATCCAGATCATGGTTGTGCCAAAGGTGCTTTTTCAATAGGCCACTGGACTTTCTTTTGTTTTTCCTTGAAAATGTTTCACTTCTTATCCAAGAAGCTTCTTCAGTTCTGACTGAATGGTAGGGAATGGAAGGATTTATATTCCTTGCAGTCATCTTGGTTGTTAATACTCTCTCTGAGAGTTGTTAAGGCCACTTGGAGGGCACAGATAAACCTCCAAGTAGCCTCAACGATTCCCAGAAAGAGTGCTAATGACCAGGGGACTGCAAGGAATATAAATCCTTCCATTCCCTACCATTCAGTCAGAACTGAAGAAGCTTCTTGGATGAGAAGTGAAACATTTTCAAGGAAAAACAAAAGGAAGTCCAATTGCCTATTGAAAAAGCACCTTTGGGGCATTCCTGAGAAGCTAATTTCTCACTATGCAGTTTTCTAAGATAATTTTTAAATTTGTTAATCAATGGTCAGTTAATTTTTATAGCCCAGCAACTCAAAGGACAACAAAGATGAATGATGAATGTTTCCTATTTGAAAAACTGGGCAATAAAAAAAATCAACTTACCTCTTATACTATTATGTATACTGGGTACTCGGGAAGGGAACAGCCGACGCTGGAAAACAGGATCTAAAGGTTGAAGAGGAATCCAGTATAAATTTAAGAAATGCGGTCTGGTTTTAAGGTTTTATAATCTGTAATCACTGCATTTGTTTTTAAAACCCAGTAAACCAGCAAGAGGACCAGTGGAGCCCAATCCAATCCCTCAACATGTTCTCCCACTAGAAAAATATTTACATTTTATGCTTTCTGGACTTACCGTTTTGTCGAGGATGGGTGTACTCTGGGGAGATGGGAAAGAGAAATAGGAAAAAGTCAAGGAGAATCTGTTGTAATTTTGAGGACAATCCCATTTAAGAACCGGGGAACAGATCAACATTCATCCCAGCAGACACAACTTTCTATGGTATCTTGATATACAGATAGTCCTCAACTTGCAACCATTCATTTAACAACTATTTGAAGTTGCAACAGCACTGAAAAAAGTGACATACAACCAACTTTCAGACATAGAACCATTGCAGTATCTCCACAGTCACATGATCAAAATGTAGGCACTTGGCAACCAGCATGTATCTAGGGCAAGTGGGGTGTCCCAGAGCCACGTGATTGGCATCTGTGACTTTCCCAGCAGCTTCCAACAAGCAAAGGCAATCAGGAATGCCATATTTGCTTAATGACATGATTCATTTAACAACTTCAGTAATTTGCTTAATAACTGTGGCAAAAAAAGGTTGTAAAATTGGACACAATTCACTTAACATTCAATTTGATTTGCAACGGAAACCTGGTCCAGTTGTGATCGTAAGCTTGAGGACTAACTGTAGTGAGAAGCCTATACATTTCTATCTCATGGTTGTTGGGAACTGAGCAGTGCAGAATAACAACAGCAGCTATTATGTTGATGTCTTTGGAAAAGATGCGACTTTTCACACAATAAAAGTCTCTAAAAACTGGCTAGGAGTCCCCAAATTTTACTCACAAACAACATTTTTGTGATGTCTAGCCCAATGAAGAGCCTACATGCTTTCCTCTATTTGGATTGGCCTTAATTAAAATATAAAACAAGTAGGTCACATCTGGCTTTACTTTTCTACAATTATTTCATTCAAAAGGCAAATAGGATGCTTGGCACATGGCAAAATGCTAGTTTCTACCAACATCTTTATTCACAAAAATGTATCTGGACTGTCTTTTCCCAGTTACATTTATCCAACTTGCCAGAGCAGGGAAATAGGTGATTTTATTGGTCCTCTCTCTTAAGGAGAACCAAGAAGAAGGGCCTTCTCAGTGGTGGCTCCCTCTCTGTGCAATATCATCCCTGCAGAAATAAGATTGGCCCATCTTGACACTCTTTTGAAAGGCCCTGAAGACAGTTTTGCCCGTGGACCTGGGAATTCCAGGTTGATATGGAGCCCCATCAAGAGTTGTTTGTTGTCACAAGGCGGGGGGGGGGGGATGGAGGGTTTTGCATTGGGGTTTTATTTCTGAGAGTCACCCATGAGTTGGGCAGCCATATAATTTTTCTTAAGAAATAAATAATGTGAGGGATAGACATTACAGCAGAGTTCCCCAACCTTTCCAACTTTGTGGACTGGCAGGGGGAGAGATGAAGTGTGCGCGCACATCCTAGTCTGCTGCTTGCACAAATGGGGATGCACACATGTGTGTGCATGCACGACCACTGCTTTCACACCCCAGTTCCCAACATCTCATAGCTGACTAGTGAGCCATGGCCCAGGAATTGGGGACCCTTGATCTCCCTTAGGTTCCTTCTGCTAATTGAATCCTTCCTAAACAGCCACAACCCATCAAGAAAATTAATTTTGTGAATCTGCAAGGTCCAGCCCATTTTTTTTTAGCATTCACAACATTCTCTCTCTTATTCTAACCGTGTCTGGTCGACACAGTTTTTCACCCCTGCCATGGATTCCCATTGCATTAGCTATTTTTTCTGAAATGGTGCACCTGGATTCAAGGCAATCCCTACATATTGATGAAAGTCCTTCAGGATTTGCTCTGGGTCCAAATTATGATAGCTGAGACTCTCCTAGCAAAAAAAGAAAAAAAAACAAAGAGCTTTTTTTCCACCCCCCAGAGAAAGACCTTTTCCCAGCAAACATGCCCCAGGTTTCAGCACTAGGGTGCACCACCTTCCCTCCTGGGCCAGGGGTAGGCAACCTTGGCTCTTTTATGACTCGTGGACTTCAACTCCCAGAATTCCTGAGCCAGCCATGCTGAGGGGAAAGGGAGAGTTTCCAAGCTGAGCCAAGCTGGCTCAGGAATTCTGGGAGTTGAAGTCCACGAGTCATAAAAGAGCCCAGGTTGCCTACCCCTGCCTCCTGGTCATCCTGTTAATACCTACCTGGCACATTTCTAATTTATGATAGTCAGGGTCATCATCTTCTTCCTCATCTTCCCCCAACTGTGATTTTGGCTTATCACAATAGATCTTCACATCTGTCTCCGCCACATTCTCAATGTCTACCAACAGTTTGGTGCCCTGGGAAAAGACCGGCAGCCCTTTGTCAGGAAGGTTGCGGATTCCTCTGTGGCGAAAAATGTAGGTGGGGAGCAGGTGGGTGGGGCGGCTGGAGGAATTACTGGGGACGACTCTGTTCCGGAGCGCCAACTTGGAGTTATACCGCACTGGGATAAGGAAGTCAAAGTCGTTGGAAGTGTTCTCCACTTGAAGGTGCAGCCCTTCATTGTAGCTGCCCACGGGAATGGGGTCAAAGGGGTACAACCCAGTGCTGGATTCATAAGCCCACTTCACAATCTTCTCCACCGTGCTTTTCACGACAAAGTAATTCTTCTCCACCAGCCATTCTTTGTTTCCTGAAAGGAAAACTGTTTCTGCGTGGAATTCCTGAAGGATTCTGTCTCGCTCATTTAGATCTGCGTTGCTCATTTTGAACCTTCCTCCTCGTCAATTCTTCTTTCTTCCGTTCCTTCTCTGAAGCCCTCTGGGCTTCCTTTCGCTTTTCCTTTTGTTTTTCATTTCAGAGTTGCTTTCCGGTTGGTTGATAGGCTCTTTGTGACTTTTGTACTTGGCAGAAGGAAGAGGGAGAAAAAGTGGATTTTTCTCCCCCAGCAAGTGATAAGTAAAAGGGACGAGCATTAACCCTCAAGATGCAGGTTTTTGCAGCTTCTCCTTCAAGCAAGAGAGGGGGAAGTTTTAAGTTGTTTTTAACCTTCTTGTTATTGTGAGGGCATTTTCCAGAATTCTGAGCAATTATAACACTGAGATCTTAATAATGTAACATTTCACAAAAATAAGAGGCAGGAATTAAGTTCCAACACAATTTCCACGATGTGAAAAGATCAGAGCCGAGAAACAGCAATATCACTACAGATAGTCCTTGACTTACAACCATAGTGAAGACTGGCCACCATAGTCATAAATTGTGACAGCAGTTATTTGCAGCAGTTGTTAAGCAAGTGGTTTGCTATGGGCTGTTTTGCCAAAAACAGGAAATAAAGTTTTCAGCAAAACTGTCAAAAACATGGTCACATGACTGCAGGGCACTGAAAGCAGCCATAAATGAGGGCCAGTTGCCAAATGATCCAACAACAACAACAATAGAGTTGGAAGGACCTTGGAGGTCTTCTAGTCCAACCCCCTGCTCAGGCAGGAAACCCTATACCATTTCAGACGAATGGTTGTCCAGTCTCTTCTTAAAAACTTCCAGTGTTGGAGTATTCACCGCTTCTGGAGGCAGGTGGTTCCACTGGTTAATTGTTCTAACTGTCAGGAAGTTTCTCCTTAGTTCTAGGTTGCTTCTCTCCTTGATTAGTTTCCATCCGTTCCTTCTTGTCCTGCCTTCATGGGCTTTGGAAAATAGCTTGACTCCCTCTTCTTTGTGGCAGCCCCTGAGATATTGGAACATTGCTATCATGTCCCCCCTCGTCCTTCTCTTCATTAAACTAGACATACCCAATTCCAGCAGCCGTTCCTTATATGTTTTAGCCTCCAGTCCCCTGATCATCTTTGTTGCTCTACTCTGTACTCTTCTCTGAACTGGTCATAAGGACCACCTGTAGAAGGGAATATCTGTAGTTCAGAGTTGAATTGTGGAATCCTTGGTGCTCTCTGCACTTGTGTGTTTTCTTGCAGACGTTTCATTACCCAACTAGGTAACATCATCAGTGCTAATGGGTGTACAAATAGGGAGCAAACCTCTCGCTCACTAGCATTGATGTTACCTACTTGTGTAACGAAACATTTGCAAGAAAACAGCCAAGCACAGAGAATACCAAGGATGCCAGAGCAGCAAAATCATCCACACGTCAGAGAGTAGTCCAGCTCTTTCTAGGCCAGTGATGGCAAACCTTTTAGAGACCCAGTGCCCAAACTGCAACCCAAAACCCACTTATTTATCACCGGGTGCCAGTGGGTGTGGCCGCGGTGGTCATGGCAGACTGGATGGGCGGGGCCAGGGCGGCGAGGGCCAGTCCCTCACCATCTCTGGGGCATGGCACACGTGCCCACAGAGAGGGCTCTGAGTGCCGCCTCTGGCACGCGTGCCATAGGTTTGCCACCACTGCTCTAGGCTCTTAGCAGAGCGTTTCAAACAGGATTTCTACCAAACAACTGAAGTTCCAGAGCTCATTCTGTCCCAGTCTTCTGCTACCCGGAGAGACTACAAGTAGTCCTCGACTTACGACCACAATTGAGCCCAAAATTTCTGTTGCTAAGTGAGACATTTGTTAAGTGAATTTTGCCCCATTTTACAACCTTTCTTGCCACAGTCGTTAAGAGAATCACTGCAGTTGTTAAATTAGTAACACGGTTGTTAAGTGAATCTGGCTTCCCCATTGACTTTGCTTGTCGGGAGGTTGCAAAAGGTGATTCCCATGACTCAGGGACACTACAACCGTCATAAGTCAGTTGCCGAGTATCTGAATTTTGATCACGTGAACGTGGGGATGCTGCAAGGATCATGTGTGAAAAACATAAGTCACTTTTATCAGTGTTGTTGTAACTTCAAGCCTCACTAAATGAAGTGTTGTAAGCCGAGAACTATCTGCATTCCACCAACCCAGTATTTCTCAAGCTTGGCAGCTTTGATCTATCCAAATTCAGGGGGCTCCCAATTAGCCAATACAAACCTCCTTGGCCTTTAGCCAACATACCCACAAGCACATAATGGATAGTACACACAGTTCCTTCCCACATACTTCCCCAGGTCTACCACTGCTCCTACTAATCTTAGGACTACTTAGCCCAGTGGTTCTCAACCTATGGGTTGCGACCCCATTTGGGGTTGATTGACCATTTCACGGGGGTCGCCAAGCAAGGCTGTCCGCCATTTTTTTCCCCTTTTCCGGTGGGTGCCTTACCTCCCTTGAGCTGGGCCAGCTGGTGGTCGGCCCGCTCCGTCTCTGCCGCTTGCCAGCTATGCCTCGGCCGGCAAAGGGGGCGGAACCACGCATGTGCGGCGCTCCCAGGCAGGGAAAGTCCTCAACTTACGACCGGTTGGATAGTCCTTGACTTACGACCGGTTTAGTCCTCGACTTACGACCGGTTTAGTCGACTTACGACCGGTTGGATAGTCCTCGACTTACGACCGGTTTAGTCCTCGACTTACGACCAGTTGGGGGTCACGGCATTAAAAAGGTTGAGAACCACTGACTTAGCCCTAGGCTGCTTCCAGTTACTCTATGCAAGGGGTACGCAACCTTGGCTCTTTTATGACTCGTGGACTTCAACTCCCAGAATTCCTGAGCCAGCCATGCTGAGGGGAAAGGGAGAGGTTTCCAAGCTGAGCCATGCTGGCTCAGGAATTCTGGGAGTTGAAGTCCACGAGTCATAAAAGAGCCAAGGTTGCATACCCCTGCCTATGCCCAGTGAGTACCAGAAACCACTTCCCCTCTCACTCCCAGAACAAGTCTGCATAGGAAATAACAACAACAACAACAACAACAACAACAACAACAACAACAATAATAATAATAATAATAATAATAATAATAATAATAAAGTTGGAAGGGACCTTGGAGGTCATCGAGTCCAACCCCCTGCTCAGGCAGGAAACCCTACACCATTTCGGACAAATGGGCAAACTAATGTGCAACAACACCCAGCTGCTTTTCTGCTCTGGTTTTATAGCTACTGGGGCCGTTGGGCAGGCTGGGGAGAGGCCTTAAAGGGGCCCAGCATGCTCAGTCCAGGCGCCAGCCATGTTTCAGGTGGCACAAAGTGATACACACAAACTTCCAACTTTGTTGCCCTCTAGTGCAGTGGTTCTCAACCTTTTTAATGCCGCGACCCCAACCGGTTGTAAGTCGAGGACTAAACCGGTCATAAGTCGAGGACTAAACCGGTCGTAAGTTGAGGACTACCCAACCGGTCGTAAGTCGAGGACTTTCCCTGCCCAGGAGTGCCGCGCATGCGTGGTTCCGCCCCCTGCGCCAGCCGAGGCGTAGCTGGCAAGAGGCAGATACGGAGCAGGCCGACCACCAGCTGGCCCAGCCCAAGGGAGGTAAGGCACCCGCCGGAAAAGGGGGAAAAAAATGGCGGACAAAAAAAATGTCAGACAAAAAAAATGGCGGACAGCCTTGCTTGGCGACCCCCATGAAATGGTCGATCGACCCCAAATGGGGTCCCGACCCACAGGTTGAGAACCACTGCTCTAGTGGCTACCAAAGAGAGCCAGTTTGTCCTACAGTACAGGTGGTCCTTGATTTACAACCATTCATTTAGTGACCTTTCCAAGTTATAATAGCACTGATAAAGTGATGTCACCATTTTTCACACTTACAACTGTTACAGAATCCCCAGGGTTACACGATCAAAATTCAGACACTTGGCAACTGGCTCATATTTATGACGGTTGCAGTGAGTCAAGTGATCACTTTTTGTGACCTTCTCACAAGCCAAGTCAATGGGGAAGCCAGATTCATTTAACAATAACATGGTATTAACAGCTGCCATGATTCACTTAAGAACTGTGGCAAGAAAGGCCATAAAATGGGGCAAAACTCCCTTTTAAAAACTTAACAACTGTCTTGCTTAGCCACAGAAATTTTGGGTTCAATTGTGGTTGTAAGTTGAGGACTATCTATATGTAGTAGTTAAAGGCACTAGGCTAGAAACTAGGAGACCAAGAGTTCTAGTCCCAATTTAGGCATAATGCCTGCTGTGTGACCTTGGGCCAGTCGCCCTCTCTCTGCCCTAGGGAGCAGGCAATGGCAAACTACTTCCAAAAAAACTGTCCAGGCAGTTTTGTCTAGGAGACAAAAATTGGCATACACCCACATAAAAATGAGTACCATATATTTGCAACTCAAGTCTAGAGTTTTATATGCAAAAACCAAATTAATGACTTGGCTCCTGAATAAATACCTGCCAATTTGGCTTGCAAATCTGTCTGTCTATCTACCCATCCATCCATCCATCCATCCATCCATCTTCTTATCATCTGTGATCTCCCTTCCTCTGTATCATTTCTATCTACCATTGGATGCTATTGCCAAATTTATTTTCTCCTCTTCCAATCATGTTCCACTTTTAGTTCTACACCCCGCCCTGCTCTGGGAACTTCGGATGGCTGCATTTTCCAGATCAAATTAACAACCTTCTTGAAGTAGGTGGGATCAAAGCTGAGATGTATTCTAGCATTAGGATGGAGATTCTGTGCCGATCCAGCGCTTGTACCAGATCATGAGGAGCCCTTAGCCAAATCATGTACCCTGTGGTCAGCCCTTCAAAGTAGACCAGACTAGGAAACAAAGTTATGAATACTAATACTACTTTTATTGTAAGGTTACAATAACAGAATCTGAATGCGTTTCCCCTCTCCCTCCCTTTATTTTTGTGAGAACTTAAGAGGGTCTCGTCTTAGAGGCTTTCTTAGATGGTAGTTCTGCCCCAGATTCAGGTTTCTTTCATTTATTGTCTTGGTTGTGTCTCTTCCTCCTGTTCCACAAGGTTATTCCTTCTTCCCATCACATCTGTTGGATGAGCTGAGCAAATGGCTTTCAAGGAACACCCCCCCCCCCAATCGTTTTCTGTGGGTTCCAGTGTCTCCAGATAGAGTTAGATGTGCAGGAGATAAGATTACAGATAGTCCTTGACTTACAACCACAATTGGGACTAGATATTTCATTGTTAAACAAGGCAGTTGTTAAGTCATGCCTAATTTTACGATCTTTTTGCCATGTTAAATAAATCACTGCCATTATTAAGAGAATCACTTGGTTGTTAAACACATCTGGTTTTCACCATTGATTTTCCTTGTCAAAAGCTGGTCACAAATGGCAATCAAATGACCCCGGGATGCTGCAACCAATGTAAAAAGGCCAGTCGCCAAGTGCCCAAATTTTCATCATGTGATGGTTATAAGTGTGAGGACCAGTTGTAAAGACGGGGACCGATGTCACTTTTTTCAAAATGCTGCAACTTTGAATGGTGGCTAAATGTATGATTGTAAATCGAGGACTACCTGTATAATATTTTCTTAGTGCTTTGATCCATGCTTAACATCTCTTTAATGAGCCAAGTCAAAATGAAGGAAGCAAAATCAAAATGAAAGAAGCAAAATCAAAATTAAGAGACTATCAAAACCATGGTATCAACAACAAAAGGGTATCACTCCCTATTCCCTCTTCTTTTTTCTTTTCCCTTACAACCCCCCCCCCCAAGATACAAAGGAAACAACAGAAGAGATTGTGTAATATTTGTATTGATTTTAAGGGTGAGAATTAAAGGTAGAGAGATCTATATCTGGGTCACTGGAGGTGGAGCTGGAGAGTGAAGGGATTCATTCCACCCTTTCATCCATGGATCTTCATCCCAGTGGAAACCGAGGGCATTGACCATCGGTCCTGACCTCCCACTGATGAACCTCAGAACTGTGTTGGGGTGCGAGGGCTCTGCAGTGAAAGGCGTTCCCAAACCGGAATTCAGCCCAAAGGCAAAGACATGGCCCATGTTGGTGCGGAAGGCCAGGTATTCCACAGCGTTTCCAAAACGGCCATTCACCTGCACCAATCCCTCCCCAAAGGACAGGTGCATGTCTGAAGGGTGGCCTGCTGTGCTTCCTTCAGTACTGGACCACGTGTCACCATAGCGAACCTGGATGCTGCATTAACAAGAGAAGGATGATGTTAGAGAGGCACCTTAAATGGAAATGAATGACGATGCTCATGAGGGGTCCTTGGGGTTCTCTGACCTTGCTTGTTTTCTTGCAGGCATTTTGTTACCCAAACTAGGTAACATATCAGTGTTACAGGCAGGATTGATGATGTTACCTAGTTGGGTAATAAAAAGTCTGCAAGAAAACAAGCTCAAAAAGCACCCAGGACCCCTTGTTTCAACCCTGTGCTACAAATATTCTCTTTTATTGATGATGCTCATCTCAGCAAACCTCCGTAGGAAGAGGTCTTTCATCTATACTTCCATCTTCTTATCCAGAATGAAGAAGAGCTAGAAAATGGTTCCAGAACGGTGTTTCTCCATCTTGGCAATTTGAAGATCTGTGGACTTCAACTCCCAGAATTCCCCAACCAGCCATGCTGGCTGGAGAATTCTGGGAGCTGAAGTCCATTCATCTTCACTTTGCTGAGATTGAGAAACACTGATCTAGAAGGAACCACCCTCCTTTCATTCATACCTTATTTTCCTTCAGTATTGATCTAGATATGTTCTTTATATACAATCTGCAGCCCTTAGACATATGTTTTCACATAAAAATAGCTTATTGACTGATTAGTCAATTATCAATAAACTGTTTCTACATCTATATTATTTATGCTCTCCTCGGTTGATTCATAAATTTTCAGATGTCAAGTTCTGCCCAGCTATAGACCTCTGGGGTTCATGTAAACATACGTACCTTAGTATACAGTCATTCGACCTTATTTTCATCGCTGATATAGGGCCTTCAAACTGGTTGCTGGACTGATCAAAAGAGTCCCCACCATTTCCACCGTATTCCCCAGAGTAGGAAGAGAACTCTTCCTGGTCTGGATGCATAAAGAAGAGTGAGAACCAGTTAACTGAATGAGTCTATTAATCAATCAACCAATCCATCCCAGAGCTTCCTATATCCCTGCAGAATAGCTTATGAGGCTATGTCCCATTTTGTGTCCCATTGATTAAACAGCCTTGTATTTGTATATGGAATGGTCACTCAGAGGTGAATTAGAGTTCCAGACAAAGAATCACATAGACTGGTGGAGGAAGACGGCTGGAGATCGGAAGTCCTCTTGCAGATTCCTGCTCTCACTTCACATCCTCCAGGAGCTCAAATATTATTGAAACAATTGTTCGACAACCATGGTAATTCTCTTTACGACCATTGTAAAAATGGTCATCAAATTGAGTTGTCATTTGGTGCTTTCACTTACGATTGCAACAACTTATGACTGAAACTCTGGGTTCCATTGTGGTTGTAAGTCAAGGACTACCTGTATAAGCAATGTTAGATAATAGGAGGATTATAAATTTAGAATTCTATAATTGTATAAATGTTCTTTCTACTATATAAATCCATCATGGTATATCTTGAAGTTATTGCTTGTGTGCAATTTTAACTGAAATTTACTTATTTTTGATGGCAGTTGGACCATACGCTGGGGGCACATTATAAATAGTATTTGTAAACAATATAAATTATTGCATGGGTCTTCAAACTTGCCCTTTTAGGACTTGTGGACTTCAACTCCCAGAATTCCTCAGCCAGCATGCCTGGCTGAGGAATTCTGGGAGTTGAAGTCCACAAGTCATAAAAGGGCCAAGTTTGAAGACCCCTGAATTATTGGTTGGTTCATTTTATATTTTTTAAGCTGGTAATTTCTGCAGACTTATTTACAAAGCTATTGTACATATCATTTCCTCAGGACCATAAGTTGATGCTTTACTTCAGATTTGCTTACAGAGAAAGGGAGAGGGGAAAAAAAGAAGTTTAAACATATCCTGTAGCAAAGTCTTAAATGAGTCAAGGAGACTGTTTAAGTTTCTCAGTCCATATAAGGCCAATCAGATTCTGCCGTCTGCTGAGGCAAAAGAGAATTGAAATGCGTGCAAATGAAGAGCATGTTGAGCATTGGGTTAGCCATCCATTGATCGTTGGGATTACAGGATTTGTCTACAAGATTGGCTACTAAACTAGTATTAAGTTAGAGTTACATTTTTCAAACACAGCACCTAACATTTTAATCATTTAATCCTGACCTGTAATTGTAGAGACCTATGCAATCTACTATGCAATTCAAATTATATCTTTTTTAGCCAGCCCTTGCAGGTAACTGAGATCTACTACAATAACCCTTATATCGTGGGCTGGGAAAAGCTGCTTAACCAATAAATTTCTAATGAAATAGATAACAGGTTCCTTCTTTTAAGATCTTGCAATCTTAGGGGACCTAGAAAATATGCTTTTTTCTGTGGTTGCCCTGTTATTTGGATCAGCCTCAATTCTCCTCACCTTTAAGAAAGCTGTTAAGACTTGGCCATTCCCCCAAGATTTAGGGGCAAACAGTGGAATTCCCTTTAGTTCAGGGATGTCAAACTGCCAGCCCACGGGCTGGACGCATCACGAGGAAGCCAAGCCCAGCCCATTGCCGGCCATGGCAAAACAGTCCTGATACGTCGTGCGATGTCATATGACGTCGCGAGTTTGACATGTCTGCTTTAGTTGCTTTCTTATATGCTTAATTGCCATTTTATATTTTGGATCTTAAATACTGCAACATGTTTTAATGTTATATGGTCTGGGAGTGTGACTTTTTTTACTTTATTTGTTTGCTTTTGTGTTGTACTTCATGCAGTCACATTTTTTAAGCCTTATAAATCTGCATAAAAATATAAAGTTTTAACATGTATTCTCCAAAACTCTATGCTTTAACCCAGTGGTGGCAAATCTATGGCACGCGTGCCAGAGGCGGCACTTAGAGCTCTCTCTGTGGGCACGCGCGCCGTTGCCCCAGCAGAGTTCGCCAGAGTAGCGAGCACGTGGCGTTTGGAAGCAACAGGGCAGGAAGTGAGTGAACAAGCAGCGTTGGCCCCCCAGGGATGCCCCGGAGATGGCGAGGGACTGACCCCCATCACCTTGGCCCCGGCCACACTCACCCAGTCTGCCATGACCACTGCAGCCACGCCCACCCAGTGGGCCACGTCCCCCCCCACCGAGGGCACCACAATCCTGATGCAGCTCTGGCATTTTGCGATAAATAAGTGGGTTTTGGGTTGCAGTTTGGGCACTCAGTCTCTAAAAGGTTCGCCATCACTGTTTTAACCTATAGGTTGGGGGGCTTCTTTGCCTCTAATTTTTGCCTACTGTACACATCTGATCTTTGTAATTGACAAATCGTGGGTGCTCCATCTCTGGAGGTTTTTAAGAGACTAGACCAGGGGTAGGCAACCTTGGCTCTTTTATGACTCGTGGACTTCAACTCCCAGAATTCCTGAGCCAGCATGGCTCAGCTTGGAAACCTCTCCCTTTCCCCTCAGCATGGCTGGCTCAGGAATTCTGGGAGTTGAAGTCCACGAGTCATAAAAGAGCCAAGGTTGCCTACCCCTGGATTAGACAGTCACTTGTCTGAAATGGTAGGTTCTCCTGCTCAAGCAGGGGGCTGAAGACCTCCAAGGTCCCTTCCAGCTCTATTCTATTCTAATTCTAATTTCAAATCCATGCATATATGCACATACAAACACCATTCTTAGTGCAAATTATTACAATTTTCCACAGTTCTTATTCCTCAGGCACTGGACAGAATTCAGTGAGAATTGCTCTCTTTCAAATCAGTGGTTTTCAACTTGGGCACCTTGAAGATGTATGGACTCAACTCCCAGAATTCCCCAGCCAGCTGGCTGGCTGGGGAATTCTGGGAGTTGAATCCATACATCTTCAAATTGACAAGTGTGAGAGACATTGTTCTAGAATCTAGAGCTTACCCAAAATAGTTGATACTCCAGCACAAAGAAGGCAAAGAAACACAAAAAACAGCATCTGGGAAGATGAAATAGGCTTAATCTGAAGATTACAGAACAAAAGAGAGTTATAGTTAACATGTTATCTTTGACAATGCATGTTATCGGAGCCTGACCTACCATTGAATTAAGCAATTCTTTCTTGTAAATACATCTGTTTAGAAAGCCAACCTTAAATTCATTACAACAATACATGTAGTCCTTGACACATTCATTCAGCAACCATCCAAAGTTACAGTGGCATTGGAAAAGTGATTTATAACTGGTCCTCATGCTTACGACCGTTGCAACATCCCCGTGGTCATGTGATTAAAATTCAGGCATGCGATAATCGGCATGTATTTATGATGGTTGTGCCATGCTAAGATCATGGGATTGCCATGTTTCCAACAAGCCTGTTTTCCACAAGCAAAGTCAATGGGGAAAAGGGATTCATTTAATGACTGCATGATTCACTTAACAACTGCAGCAATTCTTTTAACAACTGTGGCAATAAATCGGATGTGACTCACTTAATCATGGCCTTGTTTAGCAACAGAAAGTCACAGTTATGGTTGTAAGTCAAGAACTACCTGTAAGACAGGGGCTGGGATACCAATTTAAGACAGTGACGGGAGGCAGTTGAAATAGAAGCAGGTAAAATGCAGCAAGATATGAAAAACAAATGTTGGCTCCTATGGAATAACAGATTTCTTTTCCTCAGGGAGAGGCAACTGAAAGAAGGAACTGTTGATTCAAGAATGCTATTTAAAATGCACAAATAAGCTTTCCCAAGGTTATTGTTAAAGTTCACAAGTTACTCTATCTAAAATTCAGTCTTCTACTACAGCATTAGGGTACTGTAGGATTTAGGATTTCATGTTGTTGGCTGAAATAAGAATTTGAAGGCAAAAATGTAAACAGGAAAAAAAATCATGCAAGGAAAACAAAAAGGCTCTGATTGTGGTGTGATTATAATACCATCCTTTCCATATTTCTAGGTCAATTCAGAAGCAGGTCCTATTTTAGTGACATTTATGAGTCAATGTATTTTGGACTGAATTTACAAGTCTTCTTCTCCTTCTCCCCTCCCTCCCTCGCCCCCCCCCATCTATTTTCCTTTCTCCCTTCCATCTCTCCCTCCTTCCTTGCCTTCTTTTACTCTGATTCCATCCATCCATCCATCCATCCATCCATCCCAGAGATTCTCCCCATGAAAATGTCCTCAGATGCACCATGCAACTTTTTAGCCCTGTAATTATCACCATAGGCAAATCTACATACAGTATAATATTTACATATTTCTGCAATGCAACTCTGTAATTTACCTTACAAAATTGAATTGTTCTTTGGTGAGAGGAGCCCAAGGCAACAGGTTTCCTTCTCTTTGTCTTCCTAAGGCTTCAGATTTCAAAGAATCCCTTGTTTTCAATCTCTGCTGCAAATGTGGCCTGAGCACCTATTGGTTTGGCAACAATTTGGAAAATTTCTGGAGTTTCTTTTTACCTGTGGTTAGCCGCAGGGCACACAAACAGTGCTTCTATTGTGAGCTTTCCTGCTCCCGTTTAGAAGATCTTCATTCCAGAAAGCAATCATTGGATGAACTTACCTTTGACTGCTTGCACTGTGCTGTCTTTTTAACCAAAAAATTGTTCATTCTTTAGTTTTCAGTTATCTGCATGGCAAATAAAAATATGGGCTGCTCTCCTAATTCACTGCTGCTTTGGATAAAAAGAAATTGCTCGAGGCCTAGGGGGAAAAAGTTACTTTTCTATATTGGTAGTGACTCCTCAGGCATCTTATTAAGTGACTGTTCAAAGTTATAAGGGCAAAGTAATAATGACTTACCACTGGTTCACTTAGCACTTAATGACTATTGTAGCATCCCTAGGATCACCTGATGAAAATTTGGGCTCTTTGTAACTGGAATGTATTTAGGATAGTTGCCACATCCCAGGCGATCACCCTTTGCATCCTTCCTATCTGGCTTCCAACAAGCAGGGTCAATGGAGGAAGCCAAATTCAGTCAATGACCGCATGAGTCACTTACCAACTATGGCAAAAAAACCCAACACCTTTGTAAACTTTAAATAAGGATTGTAATAGGATCTATGATAAGGCAACCAGAATGATTGGATAGAAAAGAAATATTATATTGATGTGATTATTATTTTTAGGAATATTGGGAAAAAATATATATTTAATTGTTATCTATCAAAACAATAAGAATTGTATTAACTCAATGCTTGCAAAAGAGGACATTTTGGGGAAAAGAGGAAATAAATTAAAACCATTATGTGGATTATGGATTATAGAAATCAATTGTTAGTGATTGTTTTACAAATGTAAAACCAGACAGCACACAGTTCACCAATTATTAAGTGATTTATGTTTTAAAAAATCAATAAAATATATTAAACCCCCCCCCCCAAAAAGGTTGTAAAACTGAGTGTAACTCACTTAACAAGCACCTTGCTTAGCAATGGAAATTCTTGTCCCAATGGTGGGGATGCTGCAACAATTGTATGTGTTTGGATCAGTCATAAATCACTTTTTAGTGCAGTTGTAACCTTGAACAGTCACTAAGTAAGTGGTTATAAGTCGAGGACTGCCTGGGAGAATCGCAGGATAAAAATAGAAAAAAATCTAATAACCACATAGTGGCCTTACTTAACACAGCATACTAACCCATGAAAAATTACTCAGTGTTCATACGGAGCAAGCTTAGCATGTTATGTTAATACAGTTACTGGATATTCATTTCCAATGAATGCCGAATTTTGTGGTTTGTGAACCTGAAGATGGTTCATTTGAGCTGCATTTGAAGCAAGTGAACTCAAAGCCCTGTGGAATTACTGTATTTCTTGTGTGGATGGTGTGCTCCTATCAGGATACAATGCACAGAGGAACATTAAGCAAAGGCACATAGCTGCCACACGATGGCAGCAGAGCCCATAATATTGTTGTGGCTCAGCCGATCTTTTCTTAATCTTGTTTCTCAGCTTTAACAACTTTAAAAAGTGGTATTCAACTCCCAAGGTTGAAGTCTGGGAGTTCTAGGACTTGAAGTCCACACATCTTACAGTTGTCAAGACTGAAAAACACTGGTCTTAATTTTCCACAGTATCATGTATAAGAAACTGCCTTTGAGTTCAGCAAAGTCTGGTGATTTGTATCTGCTGATTGGTATTATTACTCTTCGTAAATAATAAAACAGCTAGTATAGCTTTAACCCCAGCATTCCATTTCTGGATGGATGATAGGTGGAACAGGCCAGGAATTCTGGGAATTGAAGTCTAGAAATGCCAGATCACAGATAGCTTCTCCTGATGTTTAGCACCACAGCAAGAGAATCAAAAGAAACCAAAATGGTGGATTGAAGTCCCGCCTCTTTTGATGGACATTTAAAAAGGGCAGAGCTTTGATCCACACCAGTGTTTCTCAACCTTGGTCAGTTTAAGATGTGTGGACTTCAACTCCCAGAATTCCCCAGCCAGCATGATGTCCCCATCATGTTGTTTTCATCTCATCTTCAGTCCATGACTGGGAGAAGCTGAAGTCATCCTCAGTGGTGTCCCAGTATTTAAATACTATTTCCCCCATAATTTTGATCCCAGGCAAGTGAAATCAGTAAGGCTCTGCCACACATTATGGGTAGTCCTCGACTTACGACCACAATTGAGCCCAAAATTTCTGTTGTCAAGTGAAGTTTTACCCCATTTTACAACCTTTCTTGCCACAGTTGTTAAGTGAATCACTGCAGTTGATCAGTGTGTAACCTGGTTGTTAAGTGAATCTGGCTTCCCCATTGACTTTGCTTGTCAGAAAGTCACATAATGTGATCACATGATCTTGGGACACAGCAACAGTCATAAATATGAACCAATTGCCAAACATCTGAATGTTGATCACGTGATCATAGGGATGCTGCAACGGTCGTAGGTGTGAAAAATGGTCAGAAGTCACATTTTTCAGTGCCATTGTAATTTTGACCGGTCAATAAACAAACTGTTGTAAGTTGAGGACTACCTGTATCTTGGAAAAAATCAGGCAATCTGACTGAATCCAGGGACTCAGAGGTGTTTGCAGGATGTGATTTTAAAAAGTCAAGATGAAGCTATAATGGTGCCACTAAAGCTCCAATTAATTTTTTATGTGCAATGTTGCAGTCCCTGTCTTGACTTTTTTCTGGTCACAATTTGCAAACTCCTTTCAGTCCACCAGAAGTAAAATTTAAAAACCTGTTTTCTTCCACCCGTGCATGGCTGCAATGGATTAGGGGAATTAAAAGTTGGTGATACCAGGGGGGCAACATTTCTATAGCCAGGAAGCTTTCAGAAGTTGCAAAAAATCCGTGCCCTTTTTAAAGACGGAGTTTATAAGAGACTGTGGGGAAGCTAGAAAAAGGATAGAGAAGAACACGAGCATAAAATGTCCAGATAGTGGATGAGTCAATGGACAGTTATCTCATAAAGTGCAGCTTAGGCATGTTGAGAGAGACTGGGAGGAAACATGAAAAAAATTGAGAAACTCCTCATACAGTTTCCAAAAATTCTGTATTTGTTCCAAACTAGGCTTAAAGCTACTTTAGGGAAATTAATGCACTTTTTGCTTCTTTGATGTTTCTCTGATGGATGGGGCTTTGCTGATCTGTACTGTTGACATTCCTCTTTCTTTTTTAACTCCAGGAACAGACTGGTAATTAAAAGTTGTGATGGTTTGTTTCTTCCTAGAGAAATAGCAACAGCACTAAGACTTCACAGTGCTTTACAGCCCTCTCTAAGCAGTTTTACAGAGTCAGCATATTGCCCCCCAACAGTCTGGGTCCTCACTTTACTGACCTCGGAAGGATGGAAGGCTGAGTCAACCTTGAGCCAGCGACAATAGAACTGCCGAACTGCTGGCAGTCGGCAGTCTGCAGAATTAGCCTTGCAGTACTGCATTCTAACCACTGTGCCACCACGGCTCTAGAACTATTTATTTAAGAGAGTCTCTGGAGATTCTCAGTCATCCAGGTCATGGTTGGCCCAAAGATGCTTTTTCAAGAGGCAACTGGACTTTCTTGTTTTTCTTTGAAGACATTTTGCTTCTCATCCAAAATGGGGAATGGAAGGATTTATACTCCTTGCAGACAGCTGGTCATTTGCATTCTTTTAGAGAGTTGTTCAGACCACTTGGAGGTTTACTTGTGTCCTCAGGGTCACCTGAGTGGTGCAAATGGGCGTGGAGCCTTCTTGGAACTGCTGAAAGGACTGTGATGTAGACTGGAGATAGATGGTGTCCTATCCCTCCCCCTCTGTTGAGAGAGGGCTGTTCAATTTTGACATAAATGGCCTCTTTGATCCCTCTTCTAAACCAGCGGTCCTCTCTGTCCAAAATCTCTTCAAAAGAGTGGCCTTTGTCTTTTAAACGGTTTCCTCCCTGAGCAGAGGGTTGGACTAGATGACCTCCAAGGTCCTTTCCAACTTTATTATTATTGTTGTTGTTGTTATTATTATCATTATTATAATATGCAGATGGACTGCTGAATCTTGTAATTTTTTTGTAAGCTGAATCTTGTAATTATTTAAGAAAAAACCCAGAGTCTTTTTTTCCAACAGGCTTCATCCCTCCCAGACCTTCACCCTAAGATTTATACAAAATGTCTCAGAAGATGCAAGAATCAGAAAAACTTAATTTAACCTGCTTATTTTTTCAAGCTGTTGTTTGAAAAAAATGGGAACTATGAGGGGAAAATGGCTACCAGGTAATCCTCAATTTGCGACTACAGTTGGGATTGGAACTTCCATTTGTAAGTGAAGTGGTCATTAAGTGAGTTCTGTCTGATTTTACAACCTTTTTGCTGCAGTCGTTAAGCCATTTACCACAGTTGTGAAGTGAATCACACAGACGTTAAGTGAATCTAGCTTTCCCCATTGCCTTTGCTTTTTGGAAGCAGCTGGTTATAAATGGTGACCGGATGACCTCAGGATGCTGTAACCATTGTAAATACATGGTGGTATTCCAAGTGCCCGGATTTTGATCCCATGACCGGAGGGAAGCAGCAATGGTTGTTAAGTATAAGGACTGTTTGTAAGTCACTTTGCTCAGTGCTCATAACTTTGAACGGTCGCTAAACAAATGGTTGTAAGTTGAGACTTTAACTAAGATGATTAAAGGCCTGGAGACAAAAACATATGAAGAACAGTTGCAGGATTTGGGAATGGCCAGTCTAGAGAAAAGAAGGACTATGGGTGATCTGATACCATTGTTCAAGTATCCGAGGGGCTGCCACAAAGAAGAGGGGGGTCAACTTATTTTGCAAAGCACTAGAGGGAAGGACAAGAAACAATGGATGGAAAC